GTGCCGTGCTGTTGCTGTAAAGAGGAAATATGCCATGCACCAAATATGTGCTAACAGCCTTTCTCCATGGGCAGAGAGACACTGACGTGTACATCAAGGAACCAAGAAGGCGTGAGGCTCTGCGAGGATGAAGAAGTGTTGAAGCTCAGACGAGGCCTTTATGGTCTAAAGCAATCACCCAGACTGTGGCAAGAGAAGTGGAAGGAAGGAATTAGTAGGATGAACTTCTCCGCTCTCAGGTCAGATGAATGCGTCTTCCGTAGAGAAATTTTTTGGCCACTCCTGTACGTTGATGATATCATAGAATTGGGGGCTGTAGAAGCAAAGGTCGTTGAAGTCAAGAATGAACCCAGCCATCATCTCTACATCAAGGACCTTGGCACCTTGACATCATTCTTGGGATTATTGTTCACCCGAAACTCTGGCGAAGCTTGGCTCGCACAACGCCATTACACATCGAAAGTGTTGCAAAGGTTTGGGATGTCCAAATGCAAGTCTGCCAGTACTCCGATGTGTGAGAGTGCTCTGAAGGAAATTTCAGATCTCCTTAGCGACCCAGTGAACCATGTAAAGTACCAAGAGCTGCTTGGGTGTTTGTTTTTCATATCCACAAGAACAAGACCCGAAATTGCTGCTGCAGTTTCAATCCTGTGCCGCTATGCGGCTAGTCCTTGTCAGACACACTGGATTGCCCTCAAACGAGTATTGGAGTATCTACAGGGGACGAAAGAATACGCACTACGAATAGACGCATAAGATGGGTCTTGGTAGCGTACTCTGATGCCGAATGAGCTGGGGACTGAGTGGACAGAAGATCCACGACAGGGGTTCTGATACGTTTGGGCAACTCAACTGTAGTCTGGCGGTCTTTGAAGCAGGGGTTTGTTGCTCTTTCAAGCACTGAGTCTGAGTATACGACAATGTCAGAGTGTACAATGATGATTCTTTGGCTACGAAGTTTGCGACAGGAGCTGGATTGTGAACAGCAGCAGAGTACCTCCATTATAGAGGTCAATCAAGGAGCCATCCCCTGGGTAAATGAAGGCGTGAGACATGCGAAACATGTTTCAATTAAAAAGAACTTCGTAAGGGAACAAGTTAGTTTTGGTTCTGTTCAAATCTTCTACTGTCCGAGGCAAGACATGACAGAAGACGCACTGACTAAGGCGCTCTCCCGACTCTCGTTCGAAAAGTACCGCAATGGACTTGGAGTTTCAAAATGCACGCAATAGAACTCTGGCACCAAGAGGGGTGTTGAATTTCGCTATCAATCTCGCCTTTATGGTGCCATCGTGTCCATTGGTGATTGCAGCTGTGATTGTGTGACCTAATCATTTTATGTGTTGATATCAATTTATCTTATTAATACTAATTCTCCTTACTGTGCAACCCACGCAGCAAATCAGATAAGGAGGCGTTTCAGGAGATAGTGAGACAACTCACTATATCACGTGTTTTCTCTGTGTAGGATTTGTGTTTCTCTTACCATTGCGTTCTACATTGTACCTAGGGAACTAGCTTGTGTGTTTTGCAGTTTTTGACAAGCTAATACAGTACTATAAGTATGTTGAGTAAAAGGATTAAGTTGGTTGGATAGAAAACCACGACAACAGAAGAACCTCTCAGCTTTCCCGTTCGCGCATCAAGACAGACTTCTTCACCACCCCTTGCCCATATCCTACCGGAGTGAAGGACGGCGCGCGCTTGCGTGGCCCCATCGACGCCTCCCTTCGTTTTGGAATAAATGGACTGTGCTCCATGCATGAAAATCTTGATCGGTGGCAACGGACCGTTCTTTGAGACGTACGTATTTAAAACACCCCAGAATTCAACACCTTGACTTCAGCGCTGCCTCTTGTTTTCTTTCTGAGAAGATTGGGGGATTCCAGCCGTCATGGGCCCAAGATACACATCCACTGCCAACAGACCTCAATGTTGCAGAGCATGGCTCTAACATTCCGCTTGTACATCACACAAGCACTTCGTAAATAATTACAGCCTCCCCGCAACGAACGTAGAACGCAAAATGGACATCTAAAACTATCATCTGCTGCAACAACTGCCCGACATGTTCTACTGTGATACAGCTTTTGAAATTTTCATCGCCAACACTGCAAAAAACAACCTCTCCGCCGGCGAGAGAAAGTATAGATCCAAGGCTTGCACCGACACCGACGTCTAAATTTCCACAGATGCAATTGAGAGCAGCTTTCCAGCAACGATAACTCTTCCCCGCCATGCTCCTCCAGAGTAACTGGAAAGGTTGAAGTGTCATAAACGGCTATTGCGTATGGAGAGCAGACCATGAAGCTCTCTTCGGACAGAGCTAGCATACCGCAGTTAAAAAGATCAACAATAAAATTGGATCTCATGAGTGCAGACTGTTACGCGAGCGAACATCTCCAACAGACAGCACTGGCAGGCATGAAGTTTGTCGTTTGTCTTTTGGGTTCAGAGAAAGTGTTAGCCCTGACAGTGTTAGCATAGATTTGAATTTCTTGGGATCAATCCTAAATGCGTCAGTATATGTAGTGCAGACCATATGAAGAGTAAAGGGTATCTGATGTACAACAACTTTCCAGCTCTTTAGGTTGTGGGGCCCAGTCTACATTCCCTTTCTTTCCTTTCTGAAAACCTCATCCGTTTATTGCGCTCCTTTCATTTTTCGTTTCAATTCGCAGGTTCTGCGTTCCCTTTAGACTACACGATGTCCCATTCCCGTGTCGACATCGCCAGACACAAACGCAAACCACTGAACTCGACCAACTACTCTATTTGGTCGAAGAAAATGCAGTTGCTACTGCGGGGAAAGGGTTTGTGGGGCGTCGTGTGTAGGAAGGAGACGGAACCTTCTCCCGAGACACAGAAAGCGGAACATAAGACATTCATGCAGCGAAGAGATGTGGCATTGACTGACATTCTACTGTCCATTGAGGATAGTTGCAGTCATGCTGTCATTAATCTCGAAGATCCCACAGCTGTTTGGGATAAACTGCAAGAAAGGTACAAAGGGGTTTCGGAGGCGTGCATTGACACGTACTTGGTGAAGTTGTAGAACTTGACAATGGGACCGAATGAGAACGTGATGTGTTATGTCTATCGACCGATGGAATTGGAAAATGATTTGGCATCAGTTGGATATTCTCTAGGTGATAAAGAGAAGAAACGTTCCCTGCTGCGCGGCCTTCGAGAGGATTTTTCCACCACTGCCAAGGTGATCAGGGAAATAAACATGAACTTTACAAAGGCTGTGTCTGAGTTAGTTGTTGAGGAGGGGTCATGTGACGTTGAACTGTCAACTGAAAACAGTTCTGGGACTGCACTAGCAACAGTGCAATATGGAAAGCACTGTTGTACACATTGTGGACGTGAGGGCCACACTGCAGATCGTTGTTTTCACAACCCTGGATCCACGTGGTACAAAAAGGAAATCACGTATGACTTTGGAAAAGGAAACAAGCCCAGAAACCAGATGAAATATGTCAAACCTAGGAAGAGGAACATGAGGAGTTCTGAAAGCATTGATGAACTTGCGAATGTTGCCATGATGTCAAAGTCTGTGCTTCGTGGAGAAGTTGAACTACCACCACAGATGAAGGAGAAGTGGATGGTGGACTTAGCAAGCACATCACATATGTGCAACAACCCTGAAAATTTTGAAACCCTGCAGGAACAGTCGCGTCACCCCGTTGAGGTTGGCGAAGGGCAACTTTTTGATGTTGCCGGAATTGGTACAGTTCGTGGAATTTCCGTCGTTGATGGACGCAAGGAATGTGTCACGATGAAATCTGTCTTGTATACACCAACAATGATTTGCAACCTCATCTCTGTAAGCAAAGCAAGACGTGCTGGCTTTCGTGTTACCTTCGACGGTGAGGAAGGTGACACTGGGTACTGTGAAATAACCCATAGAGACAGTGGGAAAGTGTACATGAAAGGCGTTGAAATACACGAAGGACTGTGTGAAGCACAGTTCGTTCCCGATGTGGCATCAAAAGCATTTGTTTCGATTGAGAAACAACAGCAACTTTGGCACGAGAGATTTGCACATGCTAGCTCTGGTGTAATTGCAAAGACGTTGCCAATTGTAACTGGAATAGACATTCCTAACTTCAAGACCACCTCAAATTCAGAGGGAGTCTGGATTCTCAAGGATGTCATGCAGTGAGAGTCCAACTGTACTCATCACCTTAAGAATCCAGTGAAACTCTCTCTCCGTAATCCAGCCTTCTAGGAATGAAAGTTACGCGCCATAACCCATACAAATCGAAACTGCATGACCATGAAGGAGACCTGCTTGAAGTTCGAAACCGGGCGACCGGGTGTGCCCGTACGCGTGTGGACGGCACTGATGGGTCTCCCATAAGTTTCCGTACTCTGAGCGGACATAGCCGTCCATAGCTTTTGCGATGATTGATTCGCTGAGAACATCGATATCAGAACCACGGTCACATTGCTCCACTCCAAACTTGGTCTCCACCAGGCGATTAACGGCAGTCTCCAGCGCTGTGAAAAGAGTAGCGTCTTTAGTGACTGCCATCTTTATGATTTCGGCGATGCCATGACGAATCCATCCGGGCCCTAGCGTCTTGAAGAATTGTCGATCAGTTATAGTAAGGATGGGGGGATGATACGCACCGAAAACATTCTTGTATCCCAACCCATCACAGCATGTCCGAGGAGAAGGCCCAGCATCAATACCTGACACAATATATGTGCACAACATTACGTAGGGAGTATTCCTGTGATAAAGAGCACAGGCGAACCCGCCAATATCAGCCATGGCACCACCGCCAAGCACAAGGACCGGTTCATTCCGAGACACTCGCTTGCCCTTGAGATCAACAAGAATCATTTCAACGCCTTTTCAACGCCCGAATCCATCGCAATTCCCGGTACTGCTTTTGCTTCAATAATTGTGCCTATCTCTGCCTTCGATTTTCCTTCTGCGATGTCGTCCTCACGTGGTTCTTTTGCGGCGCCGTCATCAGCCGCAATTCTTAACGGACGCTTTTCTTTTGCGCCGGTATCCACGGTGGTCTTTGCGAGTCCATCAACGGAATCAGATTGAATAGCGGTTTCCACTTCAAATGCAGCTTGTACCGCCGCTTGATTACTGAAGAGATTGCTCTGTGTATCATTATCTGCCTCAGCCTCAGCCTCAGCCTCATCCGCCTTTTCTGCCGTCTGTCCAACGTCTCCCTTGGAATCAACTCTAGCTCCCTTGTCCCCGGGGTGGGCGGTGGCTTCTGCAGCGTCTTCGCCCTCGCCGCTAGCCTTGTCTGCCTCATGCTCGTCAATATCAACCTCCCCCTCAGCCACATACGCGGCGTCCGCATACGAGCTAGCGGCGTCATCCTCGCCATGGCCCCCATCTGACGGGATGTGCAAGCCGTCCTCATGCTCTTCGGCATCCTCGTGCTCACTGTACTCCTCGTGCACCTCCTCTTCCACCTCGGAGTGCTCCTCCACATCCCCAATGTCGCGTCTCTTCGTTGGTGAGGTTCCTTCGACACTTTTCGTCAAATCAATTGTATCTCCCCTCTTCCTATCCTCATGTTCACTAGCGCTGTTCGCGTCGTCCTCATCGACGTCTTCATCGACAACGTCGGCCACGTCATCGTCGTCGGCCTCGTCGAAGCTATCCTCCGTCCCGTCGACATCGATGGGGTCCTCCTTGCCCGCGATCGCGTCGGGGTCGCGATCGACGTCCGGAACGCAATGTGGCCCCGAGAGCGGCTGGGATTCGTGCGTGTGATCCTGGTCGGAGACGACGTTGACGTCGAGGGGGCGCCACGGTCGAGCGAGACGTCCGCAGACACGCCGTTTACGTTGGAGACGACTTCGGGCGGGTGGAAGGATGCGGCTGTGATCGGAGTGATCGCGGGGTCCTCGGACGTATCCACGTGGACATGCGGTGGTTCTTATGCCACGAGGCTTTCGGTCGCAGTCGATTGCTCAACGATGCCCTGCTCTGCGGCATCGGGCGGCGAGGCTTCTTGGTCGGGGACGGCTGCCTGTTCTGGCATGGCGTGAGGGGGTGGGAGACGGGAGCCGTGACTGTTGCGGTTTGAGAGGACGGGGGCTCCCAAAGGGAGTCTGTGTCTCTTGATCCATCCAAAAAAAACATCAAAAACGGGGGAAATTTGAGAAGCGCAAAAGGACGTTTGAAGACAGGACAGCTCGGATACGTCTACGCATGTCCGACCCGATCACGTCTCCCAACTAAGGAGCGTGCTTGCGTGAGCTGTTCCTCTGCCAACGCATTCTAGCCAAATGTCATGAACACATGCAAGATGCGCGGGCACTAACAAATTTCCCCAGTGCCCGCAAGCTTTCTGTTTCATTCATTGCAAAGGGCTTTTACGAATGCGCGTGGCTACCCACTTAAGCAGCAAGACTCTCCACTATCTACTCGACAAACTTCCTCCCTCAGCACTCCGGCAACCTCCTTAACAACGTCTTCCTCCCCCGTCCTCCCACACAGCACACACTCGAGCAGTCTCCGCGCCACGCTCGCAAATTATCTCTTCTTCCGTGCGCCCTCATGCAACGGGATCAAGCTCTTGAACAAGCTACACACAACCAGCACGACGTCTCCCCAATCCACGCCGTACGAATCTTCCACATACCTCCTGACGACGCCCTGCGCCCCTCCACCTGGCCTCGACAAAAGCGTCGACGGGGACGGCGGCGAGGATGTGGTCGTATCCGGAGAGGATCTGTACGACCTTTGCGACGTCGTACACGGCGTCTCCGGCGAGCGTGAGGGCATCTCCCTGTGCACCGCACATGTCGATGAGGGCGATGCCGCCGAGCACGCGGGCGAGGACGTTGGTGGGGACGGGGTCGCCATGGATGACGCGGGCTGCGCAGCCGCGGCGGCCACTCGCGTACGCGCGTTTTGCCCTGCCGTTGTGATCATCGTGCCTCCATTCTTCCCGTGTCGCACTGGTGCGACGCCCGTCACGGACAGCTCCACACTCATTGACACATCTTCTGAGTGTAGTAACCCAAATGCTCTTCTGCACTTTAAGACCATCAATCATGAACGGTTCCAACCAATATTTTTATGCAAGCTAGAGTAGTTAGCAGTTGAATTGATACTTTTTTAGCACTGAGAACTAACACACCCACTACACAGAGCCTTCGAACTACAATTACAATCCCTTTCTTCCCTCACGTTTTTGGCGCTTGCGCTTCTCGATAACTCGGAGAGCCATGAGATATTCCTCATCTTCGTCCTCTTCACTTGAGAATATATGACTGGGACGCTTCCTTTTTAAATTCTCGCGCAGGTCTCCGCAGGCCGCCCCTTGCGTTTGCTCGTCTCCAGATTCATCCTCACCCCCGCGACCGCTCTTTGGTGCATCAGGAGATCCCTCAACTCCACTTCCCTCTAAATACATATCATCGCAGATCCTCGATGCTGTACCAATTTGTGAAGAGACCTGATGATTACTGTTGGCGTTTGGCTTTTTTCGGACTTTGTCACGGCGCAGTACTTCCATGATATCATGGCTTATATAAGCCACTCAGCAGCCCAATAGTTCACAGCCATCCCAAGTATAGTGAAACGACGCTCCAGAGTCTTCTTCAGATTTACCAAATCCAGCGCATGAGTTATTTGGATAGACGTCCAAGTTGCCACACCTTTCTCTAACCCAAACCTAGAGAATAGTGCTCTCGGTTCTTCGCTGGGCCCCGTACAGCGTCTGTCGAATAATGCGACACGCTGCACGGTGAGTTTCAGAACCAAGCGGTGCCTGGGTTTCCGTCTTGTCGTATGTTTTACCCTTCCATTCAGCTTAGAGGCAGTTGAATACCTCGCGCGTCGACAATTCACAGCCTGCTCCACCCTTTCGACGACCTTTCTTGCCTGGAAGACGAAGGCACCTGAACTCCGGTTCCCCAGCAGTGGCTTGATTTCCTGCTTCTTCTGAGCACTATGCACATTGCGACACGATTTATCTTTCCGACGAACTCCGTTCCGTGGCTGCATCGTGGAATTCTATTTGATCGTATCGGGGTTGATAGAATTTGGCTTAGATGTTGGAAGGTGGCGATTCCTGTCTAAGGGGAATCTGGGTTGTTAAGTAGGCGTCTTTGAAACAGGGAATTCCAGAAACGAAAGTCACTTCCCGCTCTTTTCGTGCTATGGAGTTTCTTTTCACCACTCTTCCGGGTGATTGATTAGTACCGGACTGGGGAGATATTATGCTTCTCTGAAACTGACAATCTTGAACTCTGATGGGCGGTTGTAGACTATGTGATTGGGAATTGGTGCGCAGTCTTTTAGAGTGTGTGAAATGGAAGTGTGCTGTAGATGCGGTTGGGAACCCATTGGAGGCGTGCCAGGTGAGTGGGCAGTTCGTAAAAGATAGCGATGCAGCACGGTCATTCCGATTCTTACGACGTTGATCCGACCACTCTCTTCCAAAAGTTCCGTATGATCGACCATTTCCTTTCACGTCTGCATTCGTTTCACCATTTATCTCTCTCTACTCATAGTCTTCCGCACATCTCCCGTAGCACATCGCTCGTGAGCATCGCTTAACCCCCCGTTTATCGCCCTACCGTAGTTGTGACACATCCCCAAACGGGGCACCAGCCACAAACTGACCTCGATGTAATGTAACTGATGAAACGTAGCTGTCCATCTCCTTAGGACCTCGCTAGAGCTAGAAAAGGATTCAGAATGCGATTTAGTGTTTGTGCCGCCGCCACATCGGCGCTACCAGCGCATCTCTGTCCACCGTCCATAAATCCTCACAAATACTGCTACCCATCCTTCATATGCATCCAATGAGGCGCTCCAACCTCGATCTGTCGGTCGGTGAGTGGATGGCCGGGGTCGTCGCCAAGCTCGCGCTGTGTATCCGATCGGACTCGCCTCACCTCGCGATTCGTGCGGCGTCCGAGGCTGCTTTTGAAGAGGCGTTTTGGCCCCGAATGCCGCTGCGGCTTCAGGTCAGCCCAATTAATTAGTCAATTGATGCGGCGCAATATGAAATCCGTACCAGCTCGCAGGCGTTTCATTTCTGGGTCGATAAAGTACCTGCAGCCGTCGTGATCTAGATACCCAATTAATCGGTTGATACATGACAAGCCTTCTACGCTCCTCACCCTCTCCCGAATCGTTCCCTTGCGACCATTCCCAAGTTTGGTGAACGGTATTCTACTTGTTGGATCTAGCTTTAGACCGTACCGCCAGTCCAATCTTGAAGCATGAAGCTGCCCTGTTCTGGTGAGCTGCTCTGACGGCGTGCGATATGTGAATGAGATTTCCCACAACTCATTCACTGAGCCGTAATAAACATCTGTCACAGACGTTTTGCTTGGTTCTTCAATTGAATCGTATTCTGCCTGTCTTACAAAGTGTCCAGCGACCCAAAACTTCTGCCTTGGAGTCCTGTAGACCCCGCTGTTACATCTGTTTTGGAACACTTGTTCGGTCTTCACCATGAACGGCGTTTCCTAATCGCCGACCGCCGCACGCTTAAACAATTTCAGCTTGCTTATAGTCAGGTCATAAGCTGTGATGAGAAGTTTGTCCTCGACGAAGGAAGGACATGCCCGAATTCTATCCTTCCCGCCAACTTTTCTTCCTTTCCCTCGCATACAGCCTATCTCTTGGTACTCACAATTGCCCGTGTTACAGCGGTGACTTTCGACATCCGCATCATTACCCGAATCACTGCTGTACTCACGATAAGATAATTCATCAGGCAGCTCAATGTCCGTCCCGCAGCTTTTCAGCAGTCTCAAGGAAAAAAGCTTCATATGCTCGTTGAACATGTCTGTCTCAGCCTTTGTCCGGGATTTGGCAAGCAGACCTGTTTCCCCAACAAACCGTTCAACAACAAACTGTGAGACGTTTAAGAGAGGACCACACTCTTCCAAAATATCGGGAAGATGTAAAATAGCGTGTGTTGTTGGAGTAAAACAGAAAGATTGTGCATCTTCCTGATAGAACAGGTCACAGAAAAGAACGTACAGACGCTCTTCCAAATCGCGAAGATCACTAACGTCTCGCCTGCGTGGTGTTGGATCGAGCACAATCTCCAAGACCTTTGCAGTTTTGACCAAAGCTCTTGCATTTCTTTTGAAAAGCGTGAGGCCGAGAACAAAATTTGCCCGTAGTACAGCCCGAATGCCTTGAAGTCCTCAGCCTTAAAATATTCCAAATGTTCTATGGACAGAGTTGGGCGACCCCAGCTTGCCGGTATACCACTTCCACCAGCTCTTAGGGATAGATTGATGTACGAAATATCCGATGACCCGTTATAGA